TAAAAAAAAAGCTTTCTACCGAAAGCGATGCTACCAAGCCAAAGGTGGGTGACTCTAATCTGCGGCCCTGAGGCCTATTTTTCATTGTTTTTATTCAGTCTTCTAGGTCGTATATCCCTGGTATGTCCACTTGCTGTACCGAGGTAACTTGTGGTTGCTGTGAAGCTGAACACTGTGATACTGATGTGTCAAATGCGGTAACAGTTACCCCACGGTGGACAGAGTTTGGTGGTGCTTCCCGGTTGAAACAAGCTGAGAAGCAGTAGCAGCATCCACTTCTGTAAATAATTTGCCTACGGAAACCATATGAACCTGGAGAAAGGATGAAAACCATGCATGCAAGTGTCGAGGACTTTAGTTCATAGGGTCACTATGAGTCGCCTACGACTCGACGGCACATAACAACAACTCAAAGCATAGCTTGCTAATCAACAGTCCTATTTTAATCACACATACTAAAATATCTGCCTCTGCGAACATGCTGGAGGGTCAGCTATGAGACGGTTCTGATTCTATGGCACACAACATCATGTGTGGAGTTCTGGTGGCTCAGTCCACGGGGAGTTGCACTGTTTACCTACAGGCAGTGCCTCTCTGATGATTCAAATCCACCCAAGTACTCCATGGAAGAAAGATGGGCAACTTCCTCCTGACAGATTTACAGCCCTCAAATACATGCTGAAGTGTCAGCTACAAGTCTTTTCTGACTTGATACCAATGACTGAGAGAGTGATCATATATGTAAAGCATCAAACTGGCTCTCACAAAACACTAGTGAAAACAGTGACACTGATTTCAACCCACCTAGCTTTGCAGAAGAAAGGTCGGTAATCTGCCAAGCAAAGCCTGCAGAGAAGTCCTGCTGTTACCCAGAAGACTTGCCATGAGTCACAACCAGTTCAAAAACAATGACTTTGGGGGGTGGGGAATTCTGGGTCTGCTTCTTAGTCATTTTAAGTGAGAATTTTTTTTCCAAAGTTCACAGACTCTCAAATGGGGAGGAGGGGGAATCCTTGATTTATCAAGTTAATGGATGAGCTTCAGGGGGAGCTCTGGTGGCCTAGTGGCAAGGAACTGCACCTACAATCCCAGAGGCGCACGGTTTGAATCCACCAGATGCTCTGCCGGGGAAGGAGGGACAATCTCCTCCTGTACCAGTCAGATCTGATTTGACGGTATACTCACACAAAAATAATAAATTTTAAAAAAAATGGATGAGCTTCAGAATTCATGTAAACTGAAACTGTGAATAACATCAAGTGATGAAAGAATATGTGCCTTTTTCTGGGTAGAAGATGAAATCTACGAGGTCACAAGAGGTCAGAGAGCCCATGAGTTTTAATATTTTTAACTGGCTGTTGTTGCTAGTTGTTGGGAGTCCTATTCACGCCAACTCTGAGTGATTTCATATGTAACAGAATGGAAGAATGCCTGGTCCATGCCATCTTCATGAGCTCCAGGAGGTTTCGGTCTCAGAGACAACACATGGCCACCACACCCGGGACCCAAGGCAGGCTGTGTGCCCAGGCACTGGGGGGCAGCGCTCTGCAGGGGAGATGCGGCGGTCGGCTTCCACAGAGATTCAGTCTTGGAAACATTTTCAGGCAGTTCTACTCACCTTCAAGGATCACTGTGAGTTGGAAGAGACTTGGCAGCAATGAGCTTTTTAAAGGATTTTTTTATGACCATACACCCAAATGAGTCATAAACCTTTATAGATTTCAATTTCCTAGTCTATGTGAGCTCAGTCGCCATTAAAACCTGTATTTTAAGTAGTAATTAAAGAATTTCAAAGTTACTTTTCTTGTTTAAAAACTGTTGACATAGTATTTAAAAGTTAATGAGGCAAGCAGGAAAAAATCTGGCACAGGGGGTGTTCTGGGGCCGGGAGGGAAGGAAGAAAATGTGCCACAAAAGAAAAGAAATACATTTTAAAAAGAAATCAAATTACTACTTCATTGGACAAAAGTGCCGTAACAAAGCTTCTTTAAAAAGAATAAAAAGAAAGCATATTATTTTAAAAAAAAGCAAACAAGTTAAAGAGGCTAATACATATACTACATTACTTAATCTACCCTTGAAAATGTTAAAACACATGTATCTTTAAGAGATTATTTTTCAGAGCAGCTTTAAGCTTACAGGAAAAAAATGTGTCAAAAGTAAAGTTTCCATATACATTCCTTTAATATCTTGCATTTCATGGTTTATATCTTATAACATCTGATTTTACAGCAAATAATTTGTTTCATGCAAATAATGTGCCTTACAGGAGAAAAATGGGCAATGTCCTCCTGCATCATGTACAACCTTCAAAAACCTGCTGGAGGGTCAGCTGTGAGGTAGTTCCAAGTCAAAAGCAATGAAGGGAGGTTTTCTGGTGAAAAACCTAAAAATATTTCGTAGCTAAATACTAATTTGCTCTTACCTTGGCAATTATTTCCGATATGTTTTTTAGGGACTGCTTGATTGGGTATTTGGCCATGTCCCACTGGAATCGTGTTATGTATGTAACCAAGTCAACTGAAAGAAGGGAATAAATTCATTACTGAAGATGAAGCAATGGAGTTTTGATCGTGTATTATGCCATAATACATTTTAATGCTGAAAATGGCTTCCTGTAAAAATGGAAAAGATCTCATTTCTAAAGAGTGATAGTTACTAAAATATGGAAATGTTGTAAGCTACATGGAAGTTATAATCAAAACTTGAATCTTATACTCTCTAAGCTAGTCAGATCTTTTCTCCTGACTCAAAATTTAACATGCATACAAGACACTTGTTCCATTTATTTTCATGATTAATACATGTGATGTGGTATGAGTCATACATGGAGAAAGAGATAGGGAAGTTCAAAATGTCCTCTCAAAAAGCAGAATCTGCAAACAACAAATTCTGGTGAAGTTGTGGAGAGACTAGAGCTGTTATTCACTGCTGGCGGAAATGTAAAATGGTACAGAGAGTATGGAAAGTGGCACCTTCTCAAAAAGTTGGAAATGGAAATACCATTTGACCCAGCAATTCCACTGCTGGGAATATACCCTAAAGAAATCAGAGCCACAACTCAAGAGATGTATGCACACCCATGATTACTGCTGCATTATTCACAACAGCAAAAAGAATGGAAGCAACCCAAGTGTCCATCAATAAACAAATGGATAAAAAAACTATAGTACATTCACACAATGAAATATTACACAACGTTGAAAAACACAAAACTCCTAAAACATTACACATAGGGGACATTATGCTGAGTGAAAGATCTCAGTCACAAAAGGATAAACACTGGATAACACTGCTGTTATAAAATAGGACAGACATGGGGTGTGGGGTGTTGGGGACAGAATGGGAAGAAAGAAGATAGATAATGAACGCTGCGTTAGAGCTGATGAGGGGAAGAACTGCCCAAAAGGATCATATGATTAGGCATTATACGTATGGCTACAATCTTGAACAAGGCATGCACTGCAGGGTATATTGGGGTGGGGAAAGAAAATGTTCAACAATGGAAAAAAAAGAATTCAAAAAAGGCAGAATTTGACAAAAGCATGTTCTTTCTTTGCCATCTTTACTCAAACAAAAAATGAACCCACCAGTTGAAAGAATGTGATGACTGCTTCTAGACGTCTACACTGGGTGTAGTTCATACTAGATATAATCCCTGGGTGGTGCAAATGGTTATGCACTCAGCTAGGAGCTAAAAGGTTGGCACTCTGAACCCAGACTCAAGCACCTTCGGAAACAGTCCTGGCAATCTGCTTCCCAAAGGTCACAGTCATCACCAAAGATGTCCAGTAAACAAACGAATAAACGTTCAAGATCACAGCTGTTACAGCTGTGAATCAAAACAAAACTAAGATAGCATCTCACCCCAGCAACAACCTAGGGTATTTAATTTCATTTTAATTAAAATTAAAGAGTTTAACTGTTAAGTATCGTGAAGTTGTAGACGACCCATAGCGACCCTATGACAGTAAAAACAAAATGCTAGCAAAGGTGTGGAGAGGCTGGTGAGAATGTAAAATGATACAACTACAAGCAGACTAGTTTCCACAAAAGGTTGAAAATGAAATGAAGATACCATTTACTTATCAATCCCACTATTAGGTTGTGGTATCAGAAAACTTGAAAATTGGTTTTTCTATCCATTTTGTTAGCCCCCGTTGGATCCGGGCATGGTCTCCAGCTACCTTAACCATAGGCCTTAAGCTACCTTAACATGGTCTTGCAAATCATCTGTGGGACAAATATAAGACAGTACTTTGCACATTGTGAAACGGGGTGATGAAGAAAGGTGGAGAGACTGTAGCAGTACTGTGAAGAGAATGTGGCAAGATGTAACCAGGGGAACCCTGGAGATGGAGCCAAAGTTATAGGTTTTCCTTGCAGGATGATTGAAGGAAAAGATGACTTGTAATTGCTCTGAGATAAAGTTTGCTGGATGGCTGAGGAAACCAGAGATGTATCTGTGCTGCTGAACTGAACCTGACTGTCACTAACAGAAGAATTTTGTCTTATTAATCAGGTTTGGGACTGCTGGACTCAACCTGGACTTGAACTGTGTGATATTCTTTGCCACCTTCACTCTTCCAATCTATTTCCCTAATAAACCTCATAACTATGAATAAAGTCTGTGAGTCAAACTGCAACAAACATTGGACCCAATGAGTAACAGAAATAGGTACAGAAGCCTGTGGATGGAAAAGTCTAAGCATGTAGCTATTTGTCTGGTACTATGGATATTACTGATGGGGACAGCTCTCCTTTATGAAGCATGCAAAAGCCAGACTCGTCTACCCCCAAGTTGTAACAGCTTCTTTTACACAGGTAAAAAAAAGAATACTTAAAAAAAAGAGCATTGATACCAACTGATACATGTACACCATATCTATTGTAGCATTATTTACAACAGCAAAGAGCAAATTAAGTTTCCATCAATAGTTCTGATTTACAACATACAGAGGACTAAGACAATCATACTTAGAACTGTCGGGTTTTGTTTTGTACATGGGATCATTAGTAATATGTACTATAAAAAATGTCACAGGGTTTGCTGGTGTTATGTCTCTAAGTTTATAGGTAATGTTTTCAACGCCCAAAGCCAAATACATAAAGATCAGATTTATAAAAACAATATAAAGCAATACTGTAAACTGTTTAAAAAAAATAAGGTACTCAAGTTATGTCAGAACCAACTTAGGTGTCAGAATGAAATTTTATCATAAATTAGGAACTACTTGTAAAACTTTATTAATTTAATCTATATCTACTAGTCACTGAATATTATTAAATTTTTAGAGCTAGAGAAGATAACAAGTATTCAACTTGAACAATGCAGAGACACATAAACTGGAAACTTCTTTGTGAGTTAACAGATCCAAATAAATAAATCTCTGTAGCACTGCTTCTCAGGGAAAACTCGACAACCATGCTAATAACAATACTATATATAACATGTGAGACTTAGACATGAGAATAGGATTCATGGATGTAACTGCCAGTATTGCCAAGTTCAGCAAAGGCTTCCCACACTGCATTTAAGTATTTATCCAAAGATCTTCTTTTAATTTTTTTTACATTCTTTTTTCTTTCTGTAACTATGTCATTCAGTTTAAGACAAGGATTATCAAATATAACATTAGCTTACCTCCATTGGCCAACAGATTCTCCTGAACTTTGTCTTTACTATCTTCTAATACATCTGCCATGTACTGGGCCACTTTCTTAACCACCCTTGAAAGGAAAATCCCAACAACTATTTTCAGAAAAAAAGACCTAAATTCTGTGCTATTCAGTAAACATATTAAGACATCAATTTGACTATGTGTGCTTCCATTATACTCATCTATTATATATACAGAGAACTACCGTCTACAAAACATTTTAAATGTAAAATAGAGCAATATGTTGTTGTATACACATATTAACTAAGAAGTTGTTATACTTTAAGGAGACTACATTGTGTATATGTATTACTTTGGAAAGTAAGTAGTGGGAGGCTAGTGAGCAAAAGAGTCTACCGGCAGCCATAGGCTACGTGAGGAGAAATTAGACAATGCATCTTTCTGTAAGAACCAAGAACAAAGGAGGAGTCAGGGAACTAAGATTTATCAATTATCTGTTCGTGTGTATACATGTCAGACACTGTGCTGCCTCTCAGGGCAGAAGAGACTGACAGCCAACAGAACACAATAGTAAAGTCTAAGAATGAGGCCCAGCATAAACTATTATCTACTTTGCAGAAAAGTGAACTGCATGGTATGTGAACTTATCTCAGTTATTACTGGTTTTCGTTTTTCTAAGCATGTTTTTTTAAAAAATTTTTATTTTATTCTGGTTTGCTTACAAAGTTCATATACATTATTTTTCACACCAGATTTTCCCCATTTCCTTTACCCACCCCTCCCTCTACCCATCAAACTGTGCAACCCTATATTCACTCCCCTGCCTATCTGCACCTCTCTGCTTCTACCCTCCCCCACTGTGGATCCTCATACATGTTTTACTAGTTATCTATTTCTAAAATAATGGTCTTATACAGAATTTGTCCTTTTGGGACTGAGTTAGTTCACTTAGTATAAAGCACTTCAGACCCTTCCAAGTTAGGTAGTGATTTTCAAAATCACTCCTGCGTGCTGCATAGTATTCCATCATGTGAATGTACCATAATTTCTTAATCCATTTGTTTGTGGTTGGACATCTGGGCTGTTTCCATGTTCTTCAGACGGTGAATAATGCTGTTATGTAGAGTGGTGTACAAGTCTCTGTTTTTGCCTCAGTTCTCATTTCGTCGGGGTATATTCCAAGCAATGGAATAGCTGGGTCATATCGAATTTCTATGTTCAGCTTTTTGAGGAAACATCAAACGGCCTTCCAGAGTGGCTGTACTATTTCACAATCCCACCAACAGTGTATAAGAGTTTCTACCTCTTCACATTTTCTCCAACATTTCTTACTTGGTGTCCCACTGCTACGGGGGTACGATGGTATCTCATAGTGGATTTTGTTTGCATCTCCCATTGCTAGAGATTTTCAGCATTTCTTCACTTGCCTTTTGGCCATCTAATTATCTTCCTCTGTGAAAAGTCTTTCCATGTCTTTTGCCCATTTTGTAACTGCATTATCAGTCTTTTTTTCTTGTAGAGGCCCTATAAAATTTCATGAACTTTCCATATAAAAAACTTTGGAAATTGGAAAATGTTTTTGATGCACACAAATCTTTACAAAGTCCCTTTCATCTATTTTATCCTCTCCAGATTGTGCATCTTTGGCTGTATTTGGCAATCTCTTTATACCATAGATTAGGCCACCTAAGCTTGATCCCAGTTTGTCTCTGATGAACTTTATGGTTTAGGGCTTTATTCCTAGTTTTTCTGATCCACCTTGAGTTGATTTTTTTTGTGTATGATGAGAGGTGTGCATCCTGCTTCAGCTTTCTGCAGGTAGCAGTCCAGTTTTGCCAGCATCATTTGCTGAAGAGATTGTTGTTTCCCCATGATAGGTTTTGTTTTCTTGTTAAGTATCAGGTGACCATAGACAGATGGATTAACTTCTGGGTTCTCAATTCTATTCCACTGGACTATGTGCTATGCTGTTTTGGTTATTACAGCTGTGTAGTCTTTTTGAGATCAAGGAGCTTTCTCCCACTTCAATCTTGTTTTACAGAAGTATTCTGCTTATCTGAGGTCTCTTTCTTCTCCAAATACACTTGCCAATTGCCTTTTCTATCTCTTTGAAAAATGAATTTGGTGTCTATATTGGTACTGTGTTAAAAATGTAGACCGCTTCTGGTAAGACTGTCGAGTCTTCCTATCCATGAACAAAGAATATTTTTCAATTTTTTTTTTAAATATAGAGCGCTTCACGAATTTGCGTTGTCATCCTTGTGCAGGGGCCATGCTAATCTTCTCTGTATTGTTCCAATTTTAGTATATGTGCTGCCGAAGCAAGCACATTTTTCAATTATTTTCAGGTCTTTTATTGGGTCTCACAGAAATGTTCTTTCATTTTCTTTGTAAAGGTCTTTTGTGTCTCTAGTTACATTTATTTCTAAGTATCTCAATTTGTGGTTGGCTATTGTAAATGGTATTGCTTTTTTACTTTCCTTATCTGTGTTTTATTTGTTAATGTAGAAGAATCCCATTGACTTTTGTATACTGACCTTGTATCCTGCCACTCTACTAAATTGGTCACTGGCTATAACAGGTTTTCTGGTTGAGTCTCTGGGGTTTTCTATGTACATTATCTTATCACTTGTATATAGCGACAATTTAATCATCTCTTTGCCAATATGAATGCCTTTTATTTCCATCTCTTGTCATACTTCCCTAGCAAGTACTTCCAATACATCAGTCATTATTTCTAAAAGAATCATTTTCATACCTAAAATAGGTAGACCTTCATAAAGTTAGTTTATCACCCTCCCCCAGAACATTAACCATTTTCTAAAACCATTCTAATTAAGCATTCACATGTTAATAAACTCAATGTCCAGGTAGACTGACAACAGTAGCTCATTTTGTAGGGCTCTGTGCAAAAGAGGAGGTACATTACCCTTCTACAAATGCATCCAGTTTAGCCAGTTCATCTGACAAACCAACCAAGACATCTAGTGTGCCAACCTAAAAGAAAAAGATTGGACTTTCTCAGTTAATATCTTAAGGAACCTACAAATCTTTACATTCTATTTTAATGTCATAGTATCCAGCATTTTAAAGAAAACCAGAAGTCGGTCAGACCTTTTAAAGTTATTTGTTTGTATAACAGTCCTCTAACTCATCCTTTAAGACATAAGAGTCCTCACAGGCAGGCCTGTACCTCTGCTTGCTGCCCAGTGATGGGAAGTTACTGGCAGTTAAGCTGGACAACAGGGCTCTGCGGTAGAGTCTGAAGTTGGGGTACACCACAGGATCAGTAGTTGAATTTGTAGACAAAATTCTTTGTGTAAATGTGCAGGCTTTGGAAGAAATGTCTGGTTTACTGCGCTGTCTCAAAGAAATGCCAAAATTCCTAAAGTATTAAGAACCAATAATGAGCCATTTCTTAAACCATCATTAATAACACTTCGTGAACCAGCAAACAACCTTTTACAGTCTTTACAAAAAGTCAAGTAAATACTAGCATTCTGCTTCACTCATGCTGCTAAGGTCCTGGTTTGTAATAATGTTAAGCATATTAATTAGATTAAATTACTAGGTTAGATTTGCCAAGTTATGATTAAGTAGGTGCTAATGTAAAACATTCACAGTATAAGTATTACACAAATACCACATAAAAATTTATTGACTGCGGTATTTTAAAACTATGCATTACTATGATTTCTCACTTTTACAAAAATTTTTTGAATGCCCTATCAAATATTTTCATAAGAATCCTCCTAACAATTTAGATTATGATTCAGAAAAATCACAAAGTGTAAGGAGCAGAAGTGTCATTTCCTTTTGAGAGTTTACTTCTAAAATCTCAACTCATTCATGAGACAGTTCTTAAATTATGCCAGTGGTTAAAATGAGAGCTTGGCTGTGTCAGGTGGATTTGTGTTGCCTAGTTTTTACCAAGAGCTGAGCAGAGGGAACTGTCCTCCCGATGACCACACTTTCACAACTATTCTACCTTTAAGTCAGGAATGTTGAACTTTGACGAAATGGCTAGATTATTGTTCTTCGTGGTGGCTGCGTGCAGTTTCTCCCAGGTCTGCTGACACGTCTTTTCCCCAGGAGCAGATATAAGCCAGAACTCTGTCATGGTTGCTACCAGGTGCTTCTTCTAGAATCAAGAGAGACTAAAACAGAAAATAAAACAAAACAAAATCTACATTTAGTACAGTTTGTTTCTAAAGCCGTTCACATACTCAGAACAAGTGGTAACATATTACCTCCTCAAAACCAATCCAATTCTGGAGTAGCGGGAAAAGTCAATTTTACCTTCCCCGAAGTATATCCAACTAAACGTTAAAACCAAAAAACCTAACTCTTTGCCTTTGAGTCCATTCCAACTCAAGTGAACCGACAGAATGGAGTAGAACTAACCCACTGGGTTTCCAAGGCTGTAAAGCTTCAGAGTGGCCGGCCAGCAGACTTACACTGCCAACTTTCAGTCCGCAATCTAATGCTTCACCCACTGTGCTGCCAGGGCTCCTAAATGTTAAATGATGACAGTATTTATGGCATTACAAAAAAAGATGATATTGAACAAAACACATGAAGTACATAACATGATATACTCAATAAGAAAACAAGTCAGGCCATCTGATATCCAGGTCACCAATAATTTCACTTCACAAAAGTGGAGTCATAAATGTGTAAATTTAGGGTAGGTCTGGAGGCCTAGTGGCAAGAGGCTGCACTGCAATCCCAGAGGTATACGGTTCAAATCCACCAGATGCTCTACTGGAGAAGGAGGGGCAATCTCCTCCTGTACCAGTCAGATCCGATTTGATGGTACACACAAAAAAAACAATAACTTTTTTTAAAAAAACCTTAAAATTAAAGTGGGGGAAAAAAACCAAACACACATAGCTTTTACCTTTGGAAAATGTTCTAATTATTCCTGACTGAACGTAAAACTGCTTATCATTATCAATGAAAAATGATTTATTATCAGTTCATCTGAACAGCAGCCACCAAATAAATTGGCTTCACCTGTCTTAGTAAATCCCATAGTAGTCAAATTAGTGGTTAACTCTACTCAACATACAACTAAAGGTATCACCTCATATCCCTGACATACTTGGTTGGTATCAAGCTAAGACATTCATAAATTAATAAAAAATCTTTCCAGTATGCATTGCCATTTGTAATATATTAATCCAAATCTACTTAAGTAACAAAAAGGCAATAGAGCTACCTTGTCAAGAGTTAAGACATCTCTTCCCCTCCTCTACCATACAGACTCTCCATCATCCACACACAAGCGTACATAAAAAGATGAGAGAGAAGATGACGCCAAATCTATAATCTATTCAGGATTTAAGGGGATAAAGCACATAAACACAAAAGAAGTAGTAGACTCATTAAATAAAATATAAAATAAAAAATAAAATAAAA